CGTTATCATGTGTTATTGTGTGTTATTCATGTGTTATTGTGTCATGAGAATATTCCTGATATTATAATAACAAAATAACACATTAATATCACATGAATAACACACAATAACACATGAATAACACGGGGAAAAATATTCTCCAGTGTTACTGCGCCGTTTTTTTTCCCTATCGAGAATATTCTCCGTGTTATTCAGGTGGACACAATAGCACATGAATAACACACAATAACACATAATAACAAGGGTGAATATTCCCCGTGTTACTGCGTCGTTTTTTTCTCTATCGCTCGGGGTGTCGTGGCGTGATTTCATTGGCTACGCTTTTTAATTCTACGTGCGTAGTGCTGATGTAATATTTTTTCTGTCCGCACTGGACATAACCTAATCCCTAATTCCTGCCATACAATATAATGATATAGGTGCTAAGTTCACTTTTAGGGATTATTTCTATAATTTTATGATTATTTGAAAATAGTAAAACAAAAGAATCAAATCATAGTTGAATACATAGTTCATAATCAAATCATGATCAATATATATGATCAATGATTAAATAATGTTTAAAGCTATGATTATACCATATTGAAAACTTGCAGTTTAAATATGTTCATAATACAAGTTTCATAATGCCCACACATGGTTTGATCATGGATCATATAATGTAATCATTGATATATTTTTTAAATATATTCGATCATGTTTGCAATAAGGTTCAATTTCAATTGAATAATTATAAGTGAAAGTGAAATAAAAGCTCTTTTAATACATAGGACCATTTTACAATCAAAATATAAATTCTTGTAGATAAGATATCTGCTACAATATTTAATTCATAAATATTATTAAGCTATAATGTTGAAATGATTGAAAAGCTAAAATGGCTTTCCAAGAGTGATTCCTTCGGATTCGTATTTTTAATTGCATCAATCATATCTGCAAATTAATATATATTCTTTAATGCATTAGGGACAGATCTTTAAGCTCGTATTATATTCTAATAAGGATTTCGTGATGCTGACGATCAGCAAGACGACCAGATAAAGTTGTCTGCAAGGGGTATCATTGTCATAAAATAGTAATGAAAAGGAAATACAAGAACTATGCTAAAATGACTACAAATGCTAAAATGAATATGGATGACTGTGCTAACACGCTAATGATTAGGGTTAAGATCTTCACTAAAAGCTAAAACAAAACTTAAAATAAACAACAAAAAATAGTTCCTCAGCAAATCACAAAAAATTTAAAGAAGCTATTGAGGAAAGTTTAAAACCAAAAACCAATGCAGAGAATAAATAAGAAGATCAAAATGTAACCAAGTTTTTTTTTTCCCTCACTGTTTAACTAAATTAACACAAACATATGCTATGACAATGACACTATGCTATAGAATACAAGGATTTAAAGAAGATACAAGAATGTAAGAAGCGTCATAAAGTTAACAACAGATAACTATGAAACCTTATAAACAAGTAGTTTTTCACATGACTCCAAGCTTCTAAAGATGAGAATATTCCACTCCAAAAGGTGGGGCACGCATTCAGTAAAAAAAGCCATTCACTTCAGAAAAAAAAAAAAATTTTCAGATCTAGTCAATAAAATATAACAGAATGGGGTTAAGCATAGATTCAACAGCACCAACATCCAAGGAACTCTGTTTGATTTGAGAATACCGACAAAAGGTCGGCAACTCAAAATAATAAAAATATTTTAACATTAGCACACGAACAAAACATAGAATTTATGACGCCAGATTAAAGATTGGAGATTAGAAGCTCTCAGCACTACAAATATATTCAGATTCCCATTTGAAACTCAAAACGCTAGAAGTTGAAACCGCACGTAGATGGGAATATTTTGTGAAAAGTTGATAAAATTACACCTAGGATGCTATCTTTGACAGGGCCATGACATTGAAGTTCAGTGCATCTGGATATTCCTGAATCACAGATTGTATGACTTTGGCAGTATCCTGAGGCAGAAAGGGAAAATAAATTATAAACCAATAAACTGAAATGAAATATGCAACAACCTAACAATACAGTATCAATATTGCTAACCTTAAGGGGCTGTTTGGCTGCAAGATTTAGCCAAGATTTAGTCTAAATCTTGCAAATAAATTTTTTTTAAGCTACATAAATTATGTGTTTCTTCTGTTTTAGGCTAAATTCCCGATTGAGGAAATTTTGGGGGAAGTAAGATTGAAGAGGGAATTTACCTCAATACATTGTTTCTTCTCTTTCATTTAAATCTTAAAATTTGAAAACAATTACCAAAAATTTACTAGCATTTAATCAGATTTAACATTAATCATGCAAAATAAGTTTTGGAATTTAACACCTGTTAGGATTTACGGAATTTCAATTTACAAGATTTAGTAAATTCTCGAAGTCAAACAGCCCCTAAAAATGGAGCGGTGCAAAAACAAGTTTCGACTACTGTTAGAATGAAAAACAAATAAAAAGCGGTGGTTTGCTATACTGTCCAAGCCAAAAAAAAAAAAAAGAAAGAAAGAAAAGAAAATCCAGACGAATTAACAAATATCATTAACATAATAACAAATGCTATCACCATGTTTATAAAGCCTATCAACATTTTAACCATCACGAAGATCATATTAATAGAAATTACTCATCAGCAATCAATATATCAAAAACAATTTGAGCTTTAGCTTGACGGCATAATATTTTCCAAAAGAAAAAAAATCAACAATATTACACGTGAATAAAATTATCCTTGACAGAAGTGCAGAAACTGAACCAAAGATTACTTGCAACAGTCTTCCAAAATGCTTGCCATATTTGGATTTGTTTTTTTTTCATGTTATTTGTTATATGCAATTGCAGAAATATACTTCTCTAAGAGTTTATTTTAGGGTAATTGCAGTTGTTTGAAAAAGCAATTACGAAGTTGCCACTAAAAAAATTATTTTTCAAGAAGTTATGGTAACTATTATAATTTTTTTTTATTTTCAAAAAGTCAGAATGCAATTTTCTGACAGTCACCGCACTTCTGTCAAACCATGCAAGGTTGTAAGATGCCACTTATCTACCATAGCTTCTTGAGAAAGCAAGCAAAAAACTATTTCCCAAAATATCACAATGATGCAGTGGCTGACAGAATCTCAATTTATTTGTTTCATATTTTCAAAAACAATTTGTATTATTAATTGAAATTCAGCGAGTGAATTATTATTGATGTTTTCAATGATTCTTAAATAATATTTTACCAAACCCACTTTAAATTTGTGCTTAATAAAATCAGTAAGAATTAGTATCTTAAAATCATTCAATATAAGCATAAATTTAACATAATATTCAGTATCTGGTATTATATATGGTATTAAATCCCAAAAGAGAATATTATATGAAATCACCCCAAATAAAAAGGAAAGATGACTAGTAATAATAGCTTACCAAAATGGTTGTCTTAAAACAAAACAATTAATAATATTAAATAATTAAATAAAAGAATACGAATTATAAAAACCATTAATAATTTAAAATAATTAATAACATCAGAAATACACCATTATAAAAACCATGGACGCCATTATAATCATAATAATTGTATTAAATTTTTGAATACAAATTATTAAGGCATTTTACTACAATATTTATTTACTAAGACAAAAAATATAAAAGAATTACAGCCATGGATATCTGAACTTATAAAATTAATGTAAATATTTGAATAAAAAACTATAACATCGTTCACAATAGCATTTATCAACTAGCATCAGAAAAACACAATTTATAATAATAAACAACTGCATCACTTGTATTTTTAAGTAACCACCAAAATTACTGCATTGCCAAATAGTTAGTAGGATATGGCGAATGTTAGATTGTTTCATTGTTCAGAAAATATGATATAAATGTGATGTTTAAGATAGCAACCACATAATAAACAGATAATTGTGTTTGTTCTACTTTTACGTAAGGAAAAATAAAAACAGAAACAAAAAATTCGATAAAAGCCCTAAAATTTGGGATTAGAGTTTTTCAGAATCACAATAAGGTTTATTTTCAAAACACCTAAACTTCCATTTTTACATATATACCACCTTACCTATCTATGACAAGGTTTATTTTCACTTTTTAAAAGTTAAAATGGTGGTATTTTTTATATGATATGAAAGATTTGGGTGGCATAATTGTAAGAAAGCAAAATTTAGTTGTTAGATATGTAAATATATAAAAATTGAGTGGTATGTATGCAAATGCCCCTATGTATTATCCTTAAACTGTGTTTGGTCTGAAAGATATAATTGGGAAGGAAATATAGTTTACCTCACAATTAGATTTTGCACGGTTTAGTTTGAGTGTAATTCATTAAAAATCAAATTTACCGGGAAATTACATGCATTTCTATATTTACTAATTAGATTTGTTCTCTTTGGATATGTTTGGTTGTAGATACATGTAACCACATAAATTTCTTTTGGTTTTTTAGGTTCCAATACAATCACTAGACAATTGGATTTAACTTGTAAATGTAAGCCAATTCATAATTTCATCAGCGATTCCTCGCCTAAACCAACTGAGAGAAACAACACAAAAAAGTTATGGTGTCATGGCTTTAATGCACAAATTTTCCTATAAAAATTAAATTTAAGAAAACAAATGCCAATTCAATTCCCTTCTAATTTTGATTTTCATTTCTTTCTCATTTCCTATAGTCCAATTACTTAAACAAAACAGGGCATTTATGGCTTTGTTTAAGCCCAGTGAAAAAAAGATGAGGGAAAGGTATGTAGGTTTGAAGGAATTGGCATGCAAATGCATTTTATTTATAATTTTATATTAGATGCCTTTCAAAAAATGCATTCAAAGCATACACCTCTAGACACACCTCAAATTAAGGAACACAAGAACAACTTGGGGCTTAAGCCTCACTGCCATCAGTAAGCCTAACAACCTTTTTATCATGTGTGCATCCTTAGGTTTTATGTCTTGAGGCATTTAAGACAAAGCAATAAGTTAAGATAAAAAAAAATTATATTATATTATAATATTAATATATATTATAATATACTTATATCTAATATAAGTATGTAGGTTTGAAGGAATTGGCATGCAAATGCATTTTAGTTATAATTATATATTATATGCCTTTTCAAAAAATGCATTTAAAGCATACACCAATGGACAAACCTCAAATTAAGGAGCACAAGAACAACTTGGGGCTTAAGCCTCACTGCCATCAGTAAGAATAACATCCTTAGGTTTTATGTCTTGAGGCATTTAAGACAAAGCAATAAGTTAAGATAAAAATATTATATTATATTATAATATTAATATATATTATATTATACTTACATCTAATATATCTCATTGAATGCCACAAAATACCAAAAGAGAATCTTATGTATGATTATTTGATTGTGTTTTTAATTTCTTATTTTATTTTAAATTATATTGGATTTAATGTTAACTGATAAAGATGATAAGAAATATGTATAGAAGATGCCAATGAAATAGAATCAAATGATGCTAAACTATTACATTTAATGATTCCTATAAAGAAGAAAGTGAGTACAAAGGCGTAGTGAATCTTGATGCTCATACAACAACAAAGCCTTAATCCCACTACGTGGGGTCGGCCTCATGAATCCTTTTTCTCCATTGCGTCCTATGTAGTGTCATACTTTCATTTAGTTCTAATAAATTAAGACCATTTTTTATACAATAAGCCCAAGTTTTCCTAAGTCTAACTCTGCCTTTCTTAGTATAAGTCGAATCTAAGACATCTACACTCCTAATCAGATCATCAGATGGTCGACGTTTAATGTGACCAAACCACCTAAGACGACTCTCTCTAATTTTGTCCGTCACTGGAGCTACACCAACCCTATCACGGATATAATCATTTCGCATTTTGTCTCTAAGTGTAAAGTCACTCATCCACCTAATCATTCTGATCTCGGCAACACTTAACTAAGTATTATGCTTCTCTTTTAAAGGCCAACATTCAGTGCCATAGAGCATTGCAGGTCTCACCATCCTCTTATAAAATTTTCCTTTTAGTCTAAGCGATACTTTTCTATCACAAAAGGTACTATTTTCAACAAAAAAAAATAGGTATAAATTTAATTATATATATATATATATATATATATACTCTTCTTCACAATGTCGGCTACGGTCGAGAACTCTGCTAGGGCTTCCAATGGCGATTTTGGTCGCAATTGATTCTACCGCTGGACGGAAAGGACCTCGCATCGTCGACTCTCGCTCCGTCGTCTGGCGTCTGTGTCTACGTCGGCGTCGACATTTGCAATTCCCTGTCGCGGCTCGCGTCACGAACACTCAACTGCTCGCGTCGTCGTCTTCCTCAATATGGCTACACTACTCCTACTCGATATCGCTCCACGCCTCTGTCGCTCGAAGCTTCGTTGTCTGCGCCCGACTGTTTGTTTTTCTTCTGTTTCGGCGTTGCTCATGCTTCTGCGCCCGACAACTTCTCTGCCTTTCAGCAATCTCGCAGTAGTTTAACAGCGACAACCTCTGATGGCGTTTCCTTCTTCTTTGGTTGAGCCGGACAAAGTCTCATTTGCCCATGTGGTGGGTAACCCTCAGGTGGAGTCCGCAGTGGTATTCCCCTCAAGTTATAAGGATTCTTGTGAGAGTACAGATGAATGTTTTTTTATTAAGAAGGGAAATAGAAAATGTGGAAAAGAAGCAATCTTTTTCTCTGAATAAGAAATTTCTACCTTGACAAAAAAATTCAAGTTTGCTCTTATTGGAAAATTTCAGTGGGAACACCATTCTATGGATGTTATCAGAAAGTGTTGATGATCTTAAGCTAGTAGACAAGTGGAAAGTGAGACTCATGGATGAGAGACATGTGTTGATCCAACTAACAGTGACTGAAGACTATATCAGAATTTTCTCCAAGAAATATCTTAATATCGAAGACAAATCAATGAAGTTACTCAAGTGGTTTCCTAATTTTGACGCAAATCATGAT